TGTCTATGTGCCTGTTCGTCTGCGTCTCCTGATGGATCTCCCGGCAATGGACTTATGGACTGCTTCCTGACTTCCTCTTGAACTTCCTTGGATATGTCTGCCTTCGTTCCTAACATTTAAATCATTATGACTTGTATGAATATGTTTACTTATACTATACAGTACAAACACATAATACTTTCTAAGTATTTAGATCCTTGCACATTTTTCACACTTTGCTGCTTTAAAGTTTACAGTCATGAGACTTTAATTTAGATATACAGTATTAAAGTAGAAAATAAAAAAATATGGTTAATTTTTCTGTTACATACACAATGATGTCAAATAAGTCTAGGTACACAAAATAATCTTATCGAGCCACAAAATTAGTTGAGTGCAATAAAAGGAGTTCTTACGGTTTCTGAATAATAGTCCCTATCTCTGTGAGGTTCCCTGGTCAGGTACTGAACTTTCAGTCATGAGGTTTAAAAATGGTGATGCATCATTTTATAATTTCACAAAAGGGGCTTAACATAGGAAGGATGTGCAGTAAGTACTTTGCAACATACTGGATAGGTGCTTATAACGTTAGTTTGCCTATTCAAACCACCCATACAGCATATAGTGAAAACTGCAAACTAGATACATGGACGGATAGATTTAGTTTTGGACTTTTGAAAAACTTTAATAACCCCTATTCTCAAAAAGATTCCTCTTGATCTCACCCTCCTCTATACTCTCCTACTTTCCTTTTAATCTCCAAAGCTCTTGAGAAAGTAACTCACCCTCAGCTATCCATTTTTCCCTTGAAACACTCCCTTCTCAATTCTTTACAGTCTGGTTTCCATCATGAGCATTCCACTGAAACTGCTTCACTATCTGTTATTAATTCTCTTCCCACTGACCTTTCAGCTGCTTTTGGCACCCTTGACCTTCTCTTTCTTCTTTCTCTAACCCTGGAATTTCAGGGACTGTTCTATTGCCATATCCAAGATTGTTCCTACCAGATTTCATTTGTGACTCTCCATCTTCACCGTGTTCTTTCTCAAGAGATGTTCCCCAAGGGCTGGTACATCTTTGTGCCATCTACGCACTCCCTATTGGTTCCATTTACTCTTCTCAAGGTTTCTCTTACTGTTTCTAGGTTGAAAGTGAACAGGTCTTCTTATGTAAGTCCACTAATTCGTCACACATACCTAAAAGCCCCTTAGTCATGATGTGCTGGATACAGACACATTTTTCTTTTCTTTTTCCTGTACTGATCTCCTTTACCTTTTTGTGTTATTCTTTCACCCACTCTCTCTTTAACACTGCCATAAACCATTTAACCATCCCTCTCCTACTGAAATCATGTATTTTTCTTTCTTTCTGATCCTGAATCCCTTCCATCACCCTATAGGACCTGATTGCTGCAGCTCTCTAGTTGCTAGTTCTTCTGTCTCAGTGGTCCATCCTTTTCATCTCTTCCAAATTCTGCTGGGTGGTTTATGTTTTGTCTTCCTTAATTCTTCAAGTGTATTCAGAAACCTACAATTCATCAACATGAGAGGACTGCTTGGTATCTGCTGCAGAAGCATCATCATGCACAGTATTCTTTGTGAATCCTCAAACTATGATTATGATTACTGTCATTGGTTATGTTGTTGAATTATCTATTTATCTTCATTGCTGCACTATGTGACTCACAGTAGTTACTGTTTACTGTGAAATTGTTATGTACTTAAACCTGCCTCCGAGAAAGGCGTCTGATAATAAAGAAACCAATTCATTACATTTATATGAACTCTGATTTTTAGTTTGTCATAAGTAGTAGGAGGCAGATCAGTATAAACACAGGAACCACAAAAAGGGGTTTACTTTATTTAGTGTTCTGACTGATTGGTGGTTGGTAGTTTTTGATTCTGTGAAGGACATAGTATTAACAAACTATTTGATGGAAGAATTTGAAACATTGTGTACATGTCCTTAATGTAAAAGTTAGATCTACCAGATAAAAAAGTCTACTTCACATAATAGACCATCTTTGTTTTCAATAGTAGTGTGACTTGTTTTTCAAAAATACTATGGTTCAGTGTATTTTCATGGCATCAGTCAATGCTACAGCAATGCCTAAAAGGCCAAAGATTCTGGGGAAATAGCAGCCTAGCCACAAGGATAAGGCTGCCCAAACCTCCATCATTGCTGTGAGGAATGAGCTAGGGAGCTGTTGCAAGGATGTAGATGGATTGGAGGAGGAAATGTAAGAGAGATCTGTGAAGTCCTGTTTGCTACTGTAGATTTATATATGAAGGTGAGAGGAATTTTGCAAGATTAGGATCTATAGGAAACTTCCTCCTAAACAAGAGACCAGTTTACAATACAGTACATTTGTTATTGGAAAACATGGCAAATACAGTAAATACATTTGACAAAGTTAGTGTTCTGGTCATAACAAAGAGTAAAAGGAAAAATAATATCAGGGGGCATAATTCTTCAACCAAACTTTATATGTAGCCCTATTGTAATGAAAGCAAACTGCTTACCTGTGTGTCGTACAAAAACACAATGTCACATCCATCTGATATAATTGTCTGGCTTCTTGGTTATTGAAAATCACATTTTAAATCACAAAAAAGTCAGAAATTAGCTGGAGCATGATGATGGAATTGAATGGAAGATACTTTACTTTCTGTTGCAAAATACAAAGCCCTCAGCATATTGCCACTGACTTGCAAGACAGTCCTGAAATCAGAAAGCCTGCATCACAGTAAGAGCATTTGAGAACTAACATTTACAAGTAGACAGTGACTATTCATCATTGGTGTTGGTGTAACTGGGGACATAGTTGTATGTACTGTACAGTACATATTTGTAGTTATGCCAGTGGTGGTGTGTGAGGTGTCGCATAACTCTGAGCCACACAGCACTATTTAACAATGGTGGATCACAGCAGGACTCAGAGTGTGTTGATGAGCTGGTAGATCTTTACTTTTCTGCTATGCTTTGTGAGCTGGAAGTAATTCTAAATGGGCAATTGTGTCCTGGTTGTAAAAGAAATCCTGGAGAATCCCAGTCTTCAACTGTGGGTGTCATTGGAAAAGAGTACAAGGTTGTATAACAACAAGTATCCCCTCTAAATTAGTTACAGTATACATTTAAAGTTGTTGGTGTTGGGGTGACCACATCAGTTACAATATGTCTTCTGTTTAGAACAATATAAAGGAATTTTAAAAGCTAAAGGCAATACACATGGCTATATAGTGTACATCTCTTCTGTATAAGGTCTTCCTGTCTTGCATTTTAACCATTCACATTTCCTGATACCAGCTTGGCAAAAGCTTTTAAGCCTCTGTACAACTACCTGTAAATTTCAAAACACCCTCAGAAAAATCTGTTTTTGTACTGTATACTTCACTTTAGGTATAATTATTACTGTATTAAGACACCATTCTGTCTGTTGTCTTCAAGTTTCATCTCAGGCTTCCTGTGACACAATTCCCTTTTCTGTGTCACTGATCATCTGATACATTTACTGAGGTGTCGTGACATTTTGGGGTGGTTCCCCTTGACAAAAAGTACTGTTACAATCACCAAGTTACATTTCCTAATCATGTTTAAATGTACAGCGCTTGTAGATTATAGAAATATAAAATTCATTGTAAATTGTAAATGTGCTACAGAAACTATTGTTGAAAGCACCAGAGTTAGCTTTTGTCTTTATTCAGTATTAATTTGTATGCTATAGCCAAAGAAAATAAAATTCAGAGCTTAAGCCATGATTTGGTTTCAAAATTGGCTGTCAGAAAGAAATATAGTAGAAAGTGCAAAGCAATCAGCTGTATAATACAGATCCTATAAAATACAATACAATAATAATAAAAGATTGAGTCTTTGTCCAAATATATCAGTCTATACAGAGCAGAAGTATGTCCCACATTTTTATAAATTTGTTACAATAACATGAGCTGAACAAAGCTTGGCAACACAACATTACATATTTATAATCTGTCAGTAAGTTAAAAAACATTGCGATTTTGCTTAATTTCCTAAAACAAAATCTTGTAAAAAGGGGGATGTCAGAACAATTTTCTTTTGAATGAAAACAGTCAGGCAGAAAAACTATATATATATATAAAATTATTGAACAATATATTTCCATATGATATACTGTAAGCCTACAAAGCACATAGACCTAAAATGGCTAACCACACAATATTAATTTACTATTAAGCACATACTGTAGCATCAGTACCGAAATGTCATTGATGACATCCTTTAGACCTGTTGCCTTGCAAATAGGATGAAAACAGTTAGAATGTATAATATAGGTTTCATTAAATTTAAAAATAACTTTAAATAGTAATGTTTAATAATAGAAGCTGAAATATGAATGTATTTTCTCAGCAATGCATTACAGTACATACAGTAGCAGAATGTTTTCCTTTCCCACAGTCATGGCTGGCCCTTGGCTTAGGAAAACTAGGTGACTGTCCAGGGCTCTCAGACCACCAGGGGCACCGTTAATGTTCAACACAACATATTGTTTAAATCAGCACATTCACATGTGAGCCAGAAGTTCCCTCTAGTGCCTCTTTCTGTTGCTGCTGTGCTAATCTAGTCTGTTAAAATTTGTTTGTTATAAATTATAATTCTAGCTGTGGATGTAAGTGTAGTGGTTTATCTCCGTGTCAATGTAGTAAATGGCTCTCTTCTGCGTCATCAGATGACGATATCAATCCGGTTTCCGCTGCTGCTTCATTATATCTTAGGACGTTCTTCAGTTTAGGCATCAGGGACGATCCAACTTACACAAAGATACGGTGCAGAGTTACTGCTGTTTAATATGTGTTTGTAATGAGCAACCTTAACAGGATTTTAATAGAATGCCTGCATTGTATCGGTTCTCCAAAATAAGCTCGATCATTTTGGAATTGAATGGGCTGGTGACTGTGGGGTGTAAAGAATTATAGTGAAGGATTATAATTATAATTATAAAATGATTCCACATTTGTGTGAATGTCAGTAAAGGACCAGTCAGAAGCGAAATTAAAATGAATAACTTTATTCATTAAAAAAGGTTTTATGGCTCACCTTTGCGCCTGTTATTTTGGCCTCATGAATGCTCTACAGTTTAAAAAGCAGCTAAACTAAAAGGGTTATTATGACATGGTCATCTCGTCCTTGCCACAACATCTCACCCTCGAAGTGCACTTTCCCATGCTTCCTGGCTCTCATTAGAATGCCGACAACTTTGTCTGAGATGCGCACGTATCTATCAAAAAGTTCCCCAAACGTTACCCGGCTCTTGCCATCGGGGTCTGGATCAGCCATCGTACTGATAATGTAGCACATATCGAGTATCTCTCGATGGATGTGGGCCTCCGCTCTTTTAGCTCTCTCCTCTGTTTTTGAGCCTTCCTTCGGCCTCCCATAACCCTGGTCCCCTTTCCGGAGCCGTGTGGACATGGAAAGCTCATAATCAAACTCCTCGCTGAAGGGGTTCAATTTCTGGTTCACATTGTGCTCTTCCGCCCAGTTTTGCCACTTGCTCTTCAGATTCCCCACTGGGCTGTATTTCTTGGCAATGATGTTAATCCTTTTGGCTTCATCCACGTCTTTGTTCACCCTGCGGAAAACATAGAGTAGAAATGTGTTTTCTACACGTACTAAGTACGGTCAGCTAAATTAGTTGAATCCCTTAACGCTGATGTCTGTCGATTCTGAGTTAATTTCCGTAAACGAAAAAGGGAAGAAGTTATCTAAAACACTATAGTGGATGACATGATGCCTAATGCTGTTGCCTCGCAGCTCTTGAGTCCTGGGTTTGAAAGGACTGGAGCACCCTCTGTGTGGAGGCTGTGTATTCATGCTGTGCACATGTGGGTGTGCTGTAACCCCCCCATGCTCAAAAACATGCTGGCTAGTTTAACTGGTGTCTCTAAATCATTCCTTTGTGTTTTTTGCCCTGCAATTAACTGGCATTCTTTCCTGTGGGTATTCGCACGTCTCTGTCTTTGCAGCTAACCTGCGGCAGATAGACCATACTCTGATTTCACAACACTGCAACCCCCAGATGCTGTAGACAGAGAAGGCACATGTGAGAACAGAGGACTGGATGGAGGATTTGAGATATCAATTGGATGGGACATGCTTCACAGATAACACATGTGTTGGAACCAACACATTCAGTGTTGATACTGCATTCGTCAGGCAGAATTACTAAGAAAGTTTCTGTTCTCCTGACGGGGAAGTGCCCTGGCAGCTACATCATGCCTGCCACAGTTCTGTACCTCATCAGAGAAGGGGAGTAGCAGAAATAGAAAAACATTTCTAAGGTATTGTGTCACCAGCGACCTCTGGGTCACCTATGTTTGTAGGCAGATCAAATCATGAGTGGCTGGACTGAGATTATGCTACAGATTAAATGTGCAGAATGGTCTCCTCCTGTTTGAAACCATTCCTATGTTCTTATATTCTTATTTCTTTCCACTCTTCTGAGTTTGCTAACACATTGTGAGTGTGAAGCACCGTGGCCGAATTGTGGCCTAGATCAGAAATCTGTATCTTAGAGAGGGGTAGGCAGTAAGTGAATGGGTGATTGGTGTGTACTGTATGTGTGAATTAGCACAGGGGGTGCTGCCTGTTCCTGGCATTGTTATGTTCTACAATAAATGGGGTAAAACGTGTGGGTATAGAAACTCACGGCTTCTTCCTGGGCAGATAGTGTGTTTATTCCCACCAGGAATCACTTTGTTCCACCTGCATAACAGCAAAGCTATACCGGAACATAATACCAGTAGCAAAACAACAGCATTATTAACTGATGCTTGTGATTAAATAGACTTAATAAATTGATAACTGTACTAAGCCATACAGTTCAAAAGCACCTGTTCACTTAAAGTTAAAAACAACAAATCTGGAATTTTCTTATTATGAAAGGGAAATATCAGTTTTTTAACGGGTGCATTGACAGTTTATCCAGATGATTTAGTGCTTATACAAAAGTGAGTCACTTGAGTGTATCATGGTCATGAATGAATAATTAAAATAGTCAAAAGCCTTTAACCAATATATAAAAATTGAAATATCCTGTTTTTCTAAAAACATGCTTATATAAAGTTACCATTTCTTCTGACACTCAGTATCCACACAGATGGATGGATACTGAATGGATGTACAGTATATACTATGTCTGTGTGTATCGATATATTACAATATGCTAATGTTAATTGTTTACAATATGAAATAGTTATAATTTAGCATCCTACATACTGCCAATCCTGTATTTATTCCAAAGATTTCAAAGAAAATTTATTTCAGTGTTTCTCAACACTGTGAATTTAGATTGGGTGAAAAACATTCCTGTGACCACAAAGAAATTAGGTTATTTTTATTGCTTAATAATAAAAGACTTAATTCTAAGTTGCTGTTAAAGTTTAGAATGACCCACATTTTTTTTTATAAAGTATATAATGTTGCTTCTTTTTTACATTCAAATTGGAATATAAGAAATAAAATTGTTTGACTTTCACTACAAATGTTGCAGAACGAATTATAGAATCTAAATAAAGACTATTGAGAATTATTTTACATTTTTTTATCAAACAAAATGTTGTTGAAAGTATTATTTCAGTCACAGCTGTTTTATTGTATATAGCGAAACTATTATAATAAAAAACCTCTATAAATATTTAATTTAGCATATTTTTTAAAATTCTGTTTTGAGGTATCTTTTTTTAAACTGTGTGTTCATAGATAATTATTGTCAGATTTCTTTCTGTCATGTAAAAAAGAATTATTAGAGCTCATTGAAATTCTACAGATATCTATGGACCTTGTTGCACAACCTTCGTCTACAAATTCAGAATACTCCCCGTTGGAGTTCATTTGGGACTTTTACTTGTTTATTCCCAAACTTTCATTTTACTTGTTTTAACTAAAATAGATATTGACACCTACTCCATATTGTGGCTGTGTTGGAACATCTTGCTGTGCTTTGAACCATATTTTTTGAAGTGCAAGGCTTCAGATGATTTGCCAATATTTTGTGATATGCTATCCTCTGGGCTACGTAACCTTCTGACAACATAATCTGTTTGAAATAGTTTGGTGAGAAGCATATTTGTCAAACGCTAATTATGATGTTAACGTTCAGTTGTTTAACACACCATAGAATACTTACACGGAAACAGAAGGCCGTTTGATCCTCACAGGTGAGATGTCTGGCTCTACCTGTTTGTCTTTCATCTCTGTCACCTCCTGCATTTTCTCATCGCCCTCTGAAAAACCACTGTCCTCCGTGTCCATACTGTCTGTCCTCTTTGGCCCAGTTGGGCCCATAGAATCCTTGCTTTCTTTCTCCATCACCTTCCAACCCTTGGTGAGTTCAGAGACCAGATTGGAGCATCTTCGCCTTCGAGTTGGAGAACTTTTCGCGTTCAGTATTTTATCCACCTCTTCGTTTTCCTTTTGGTATTTGTCAGTTAAGTAACCAATGTTCATTCCTTTCTCCTGCACTTTGCTGGTCACCGTTTTCACCACTTGCTTGCTTCTTATTTTAGAGTCCAGAGGTAAACTTTCAGAAGTGTTTTCTAATTTTCCTGCTGCTGGATCGGGAACTGCAGTTTGTTTAGTCCCAGTGTTTTCTTTGGAACAAGTTTTCTGTTGTAAGGGTTGTTGATACTTCTTCGTGTTCAGTATTTCCCTTTTCTCTTCAGAAGGTGTCCATCCAGATGGCTCACTGGCCTGCCTTTCCTCGTTCTCTGAAGCCCATTGCTGCCAGCTTTTCGCCAAGCTACACACCATACTCACTGTCCGCAGCTTCTTGACATTTTTGTTGGGTGGCTTCTTTTGATTAGCTTTTGGATTTGATTCTGACATTTTTCTGTTCCCTTTTGGGTTTAGGTATACAGCAGCTTTTCTCCTTCTTCAAGTGCTGCTACTCTGGCTTAGCATTACGTTTTAAACATGGAGAGGGCTCTTCATGATGATGGAAAGTATTCAAAGCATGTCTGCCCCTTGATCATCTTTCTCTGACACCGCCACCTTAAAACTCTTCGGAGATCATGTTTCATCACAGGCAATGACCATTGCAGATGGTAAACAAGGCTAGGTATTAAGGCACTTTCTCATTCGCAGTGATAAAGATAATGGAAAATCAGATTTTTCATTAGCACAGGCAGCTGCATTATTAAAGAATGTTTGCTTTCTGTGTTTGTTAAACTGCAGTTTAGGAAACAAAAAATCACATATATCACAAAATATATTTATGATCAGTTTTTAGTAATTCAAATCCATTTTGTTACTCTTTATAAAATGCAACATATATTAGGAATACATTAAACATTTACTCATTTGGTTTAAACATAAACTTAATCATTTGTAGTTTTATATTATTTTTACACACGTGGGTGACAAAGAAAATAATACACTTTACCCTTGCCTTACAAGCACAATTGCTTGTAGGCAAAAACACTAAATTCCCATTAAAATACATGTACTGTAAAAGTCTCTGAGTCATTCCAAGTGCTTTCAACTAGACATAAACCAGATGAGTTTAGGTTCTTTTCGGATGTGTTTGAATAGTTTGGCACAATAAATTACTTAGAATATGTTACAACAATGCATAACTTTCTTTACTTAGCACTTTAAAGTAAAGTTCTAGTTTAATGAAGGATGTATATACTCCACTTTTGTTTTCTCCACTTTTTGATACATACATCAAGCCATAGAGAAGTGAAATCTTACAGCACTTAGAATTTCATACTCTTCTTCTGGTAATTGATTTAAAAATATTTTTGGGAAGTATGGGACATTGTGTTCTTGGTGACCCTGATACTAAGTCTTTTACGTTTCACTAAATATCCATTAAGCATGAGCTCCTTGTAATAACTACCAATTCATGGTCATGTATTTCTTAATATTGTTTGATAATAGGTGTAATATGCAGCAAACAAAATGTTCTACAGTGACTAGCCATGATTTAAGTGCTGGTAAATAAAAAAAAATAAACTCCTAGCATCTGCCTGCTATATGATACTTAAAGGTTTACCTTGATATATCCTTTAGCTGGATCTCAAAGTGGTCTCAATGGATGTGGAACAATTCCAAGAATACTTTAATTTAGTTGAAATTGGCATTGACAAATGTATCCATTGAGATGACTTTTTTGTATCTTGCTATTTTAAAAGTAACTTTAACACACATATGGTGAAGTTAATGTAACGGTGATCAGCATGTGATGTCTCCCAGAAATTTAGACAGTGTGGGTTTGAGAACCCAGCAGTTTGGCATAGCAGAGTCTAGGGAGTGGTGCTACTGTACAGTATGTGTGCTTAGAGCCCACCAACGACTGGGATGGCTCGCACTTGTCACAGAGATGCATATTTGTCAGTTTTGACGACGCTTATTGGAATCTTGCATCCCTTTCACCCTAGTATCATTGCACAGTGTTTCCTATCATTTGGCAAGTCCTTTGTTAACTGACATGAACTTCAGCTGCAGGATCAGCTTAACCAATGAAATGAATTACTAAATGAATGGGGTTAAAGTGCTGGGTTTCCTAACCCTGGCCTCAAGGCAAAAAGACACTGGGTTTGGGAAGATGTTTGTGGTGGGGTGCACGACTGGGATATAATATACTGTAAAGCAGGCTCAAAAACTGTTTACAGATACAACTGAACATGATTTCCGGGTATAACTTTTGAAGTTGGGAATTTTCTACTACAGTATTTCTGATATGAGGGCTTATTATTGTATTTACAGTACTTCTCACCCAGGCTTAAAAACACACAGTCATCTTGGTCAGTAACAGTATTAACTCACATTACGTGCTTATTTATAGTAGCTGGCTGGCAGAGGCTTAGTACACAACGTGAAAAGCAGCTGTTAGTTATCAATCACTCACTATCAAAGATATACAGCTATGGCCAAAAGATTTGTGCCACCATAGCATTGTTAATAATGAGAAGATGACACAACGTATTTGGCTGTAGTTGTTGATTGAGCATGTGCTGATGATTACCACAAATCCAGTTGCTAATGCTCATCTAAATATAGTGATTGGCGTGTCAAACATTCTAGAAATTTTTTGTCAAAAGGGAACGTCCTGTAAAGTCAACATACGAATCTTAAAATATGGACATTGTGACAGCTGGGGTTTCTGATCTCCATAGCCAGGTTAAATTTGGCATCTACTGTAATTAGGAGGTTTTAATCACATTTGTTTAAGTGAAAGGTGCTTTTATTTAGAGAGTGGATGTGAAGACACATTATTTACAAAGTTCCCCTACAGTTTAAATAGAAAAAACATTTCAAATAAAAAAAGTAGCAGGACTCTTTGTACAGTGTTGTCTACAGGGTTAGGGGACTAGTCCTCAGATTAACTCCAAAACAAAACCAACCAACAGACATTTTCCACAAACACTCTTGTCTTTAAAGCCACTTGTACTGTGCCAAACAGCCTTCCAGCTACAAGCTGAACAAATTAAATACCTCATAACTAATAGCTTTGTGTGCCTCATCATCTTCTACACAAACACACAGACATAAATGAAAGCAGCTGTGACTCATTGACCCAGGCCAAATGATCAGTGGGCCATCAACTACTCCCAGGGCCTTCTGTGAGTTGTAGATCAAGAAGCCTTTGCTACGTTCCAAAGTGCTACAAATTGGTACTGGCAAGGTTAGAAGAGGTGTAAGCTTTTCAACACCTCGGTCCCACGGCACTCCCCTTCCACCACCAAGCTCTACATTCTGTCACAACATGTATCTGTGATGGAAAAGGCCTTAGTATGCATTAACGGGGTAAAGTTTTTTCTTTAGTCATTATCATCTCAATAATTATTCTTGATACATTTGTGAAATTGGGGAAAATGTGTATTTCTTGATTGTTTTTATTGTTACCCTTTTTAAGAGAAAAATGACCCCTGTTTCTAGAACGTGAATTTATACATCACAGAATTTGACCCTGGGTGGTGGCTGGAGATTATAGGAGGTGGAGGGATAGGTAAGAGGCAGGTAGAAATGCGGAAGTTGAATTGTGAACTCTCACAATAGCCCTCTTCGGAAGGATGACAACAGCCAAGTTCGATCTAAATTTTTCAGTAATTTGACATCCTCACATCCTGACAATCCTGACATCTTTTCCTCACCTAAATATTATAAAACCTCTACATAATCTCACCCTCGCACACCTGTTTTTTGCATTCCAACACTGCGTAATCTGTGCCTCTGCAGTCGCCTCTCCTCAGGAGGGATCCCGGCCTCCTTGTCCTATGGCCAGGAGGTGAGCCTGAAGCTTAGCTGACGTAACTTTCACCTAATCCTGATGTAACCGCCTCAGGTCACATATACAACCTTCTCCTTTTTCTCACTCGTTTTTGCCTCCTCCACCTTTGCAGCTACCCCTTGGTTGCCTTTTCACCAAGTACGGGGATCCTAGCCTCCCCAGCCTATGGAGGTTGGCCCTCAGCTGAGCGAGTTAAGCCAAAGTTTTCACTAAATTCAATAAACAAATCTACCATTACACAAACTTCATATTCATATTCATAAAAGTGTCAAGACTTACATGTAATTCCAGTCTTGGCTTGAACTATCAGACCTATATGACCTAAAGTTCCCCCTTACTTGAACTTGTAACATAATTTCTCACTGCTTTACTTGATCTGCTATGTAGCGGGACTGCTGGCACATCAGCTCTGTGCATGATCTAGCTGGGGGCTGCGTGATCAATGAGTTCCCTCCTCAATGCAAAGTGCTTTGGAATCCTGTGGGATGAAAAGCACTGTACAAATGCATTCAATTCTGAATCATTTCCAGCTATTACTATTGTTGAGCTAATGCAAAGAAAGGTAAAAATCTCACTTAAGTAAACACATATTCCATGGAATTAAACTCCATTGTTTTCACAACCATTTAGTAGCCCATGTAAAATATGAATGTGCTCCATCAAAACTTCAGTTTTTTACAGTCATTATACTGTACATCACTGCTACCCCTCCAAACAAAGTATTTCCACTATATCTTTAGATGAGGGAATTTTCCTTTGAGCACAATCACTGGCTTAGCCAGTAGATGTCCCCAGTTGTATGTCCAATGACAGACTGACAGTGGATCCCAGATTTTCAGCTGATAGCAGTTGCTTGTTTATATACTGTATTGCCTGCTGTAGTGGAAGAGGAGAGGGGAAGATGAAAGGCCAGACAGGAATGAGACTCTTGTGGGAGACTGGGGAGGTAGTGACAGAGTGAGATGGAGTACCTCAAGCCGACAGAAACATGAGATATAGTAGGCTTGATAAGGAGACAAGGACGATACAAATGCAGGCAAAAGACAGATGACACGCAAACGGGGTCAGATAGGAGCTGGGGAAATGGGTCATGACACCTCTCACTTTCAATTTAGCTTTTCAGAAGCTTGATCTATTTTTTTTTTTGCCCCGCAGTTTCATGGCCTCACGGAAAGAACAACAGACCTTTACCAGAACCACAGGAGAATTTACAGAACAAAAGAGGCGTTAGCGAGAAAACTATTTTCTGTTATAAGGTAAACATTACAATGAATAATGTTGTTGTTCTATACTGAAACACAATTCTGCCTGCTGCAATCTTCTGTGGCAATTTACTGTATGATTTGGAAAAGAAATGTAGCTTTATACAACAATAAACAACAAAAAGTGTTACCCTTTGGTAAATTTAGTGGATTTAATATATACTGTATTAAGAAGAAAGCTCCAGACCACATACAGTATGTTGAATGGAACACTGCACAGTGATTTTCTAAGATTTCCATACAAAGAGTTTAGTTAGGGAAACATTACCAATGCTAATCTGTTAGAACTGGTTAGTGCTGTGTACTGGTCATGGTTAAAGAGGAGTTTATACTTGAGCACAGCAGTTATAAAAGTCAGTTTATTAAAGATGTATTATTATCTCTTCAACAGTTCAACTACAGTTGAAGTACTGTAGATACGACAGTCCAGATGTTAAA